TTATATTTATTGTTCATTGAAGGTTTAATGATAAAGTGATGTGAAAACGACCTTATTTCTTTTATTAAAAATCTTTGAAATGTACTTTTTACCACAACTGAATTTTAAAAACTGACATCATAAATTGTTGTTTTCCTGCAAACCAATAATGAGGAGAAGTTTACCGCTGCTGTGTGTGTCGTTGTCCTCGTCCCACGCTTCCACTATCACAGTGTAATCTTGCTGAAAGAGACAGAAGGAGGCAGAGGTTATCACTGTGCACACACACACACACACACACACACACACACACACACACACACCCTTCTGAAAGTGAATAATGGTGGGAAAATAGGTGCTGCTCCCACACGGCTCGGGGCGAGTTCATACAGCTCTGATGTGTCAAACAGGAAAACATCACCTGGAACCCAGAAACAACCGTTTCACATGTTACCTGACTTCAGTTGAGATCGATTTCTTTGTTTCCTCTGAACTCTCATCTCCTCAGATCTCATCAGTCCTGCCTCTCTTCTGGTCTCAGCTGCCAGGAGAACTTTTTAGCCCCTCAGTGCAAGAACTTCCTGTGGGCTTGCTCTGAATTTTGTGGCTGTTTGTTTGTGCTGTAAGTGTTCAGACGATGCATTTTGCTTCAACCACTCACTTCCAACAACAACAACAACAACAACAACAACAACAACAACAACAACAACAACAACAACTGGCTTCCAGAAGCTGACTGCTGCACCCAGAACAGATATTTATAAAGATAGTCAAACAGCCAATAACTCATGAATGGATCCAACAAAAAGCCATTTTGTATGGTAGAGCTTTAACTGGGACAGGTTTGTGGACAAATAATGGCAGATCTGAGTTGTTTTGGTCGTTTTTCCAGAGTGTAGACTCAGTGGTGTGTCCTGCAGCAGGAGGGGTTTGCCAGGAGCTCAGCTCGGTGTGTCTGAGTGAAAACAAAGGTTCAACACTCAGTGGCTGCACATCAACTGTTCAGCTGCAGATGGAGCATGTGGAGAGCTTTACCTTTAACGTCTCCATGACACCACCTTCTGCACAAAGTGACAGGTGATCACATCTGCACTGACCGTCAGCATCATGACTGGAGCCAAATTAAATTTAAGTTTGATTTAAGACATTAGTATATGGCCATGTTCAGGACTTGATTCAATTCAATTCAGTTTATTTATCTAGTCACAACATGTGTTGTCTCAGGGCACTGTACACAAAAACTACACATCTGAAGAAGGCAGCAAGTTGTGTTGAATCACGTCATCAGTCAACATGGTGAGCAGCACAGTGGAGACAGGAAGAAACCTCCAGCAGAAGTACCTTCCTTCCTTCCTTCCTTCCTTCCTTCCTTCCTTCCTTCCTTCCTTCCTTCCTTCCTTTCTGTTTGTTTGGTGCAGTTTGAATTGACATTGTGCTGTTTTGCAAGCAGAATATAATTTATAAAGACAGCCACAGAGGACCATCATTGCTCCTGTTGGACAGAAACGAACAGAGCACAAAATGAAAGATGGAGATGTTGGTACAACTGTAGTAGTATTTAGAATTTGAAGAGCAGCTCATTCAACAGACGTTTCATGATGATATACTTTTAATTTTGGGACAGCGTCTGCAAATGCGTGCTGCAACCCAAAGCAGACTAGATGCTAATCGTGCACTAACCCACAATGGCCTCTTGTTTATAGCATAGTGTTAGCATTAGCAACAATGAAGGGTTACCATGATGCTCAGCGATGGTGGCTCATGAAGTCCAAAAAGGCGAATGTTTCCTGTCGTTGGTTTAGTYTGAGGCTGGTCTGTTGACACCAGAAGTCGACTGCACCAGATTTCATAAGGCAGCCCTGCCTGGTGCGGATCAAACAATCAGACCGACAAACCTTTTTGAGGTGGTCTTGGTCTGGTTGTTTGACCTGCACCAGGGTTTGCACGAGTGTATTCACACCTGAATAAAAGGTCCRGACCAGAGGGGAAATGAACTGTGGTCCATTTAAAGCAGACCAAATGTGTCAGATGTTAATATATACCCTTTTATAACATCACTGAGGTAGATGTGAGCAGATCGATCCATGAATTTATGAAGGTACCAACCTCACCTGATGGAGTTTGAAGCACAGAGCTCTGCATGTCTTCAGCTACAGAACAGAAGTTCAGTTGCTTCATCTTTGTTTTTTTCACTTCCCAATATGACAATATGACAATCTACAACAGCAGATGATGCTAAGTTAGTGTCGGACTGTGTTGATGCTAACCAACTGGGATCAACATTTAGTTTCTTTTATCTTCGGCTCATTGCTTTGCTTTGAAAATTAGATGCTGCACCAGAGAGTCCATCAAGAGTCAAGATTAAACGTAAACTCTGGACCTAACAAGCAGGTCAGATACTAATTTAATTACTTCTCATTACACAGGAACTTCAGAATCACATACGCTAACACATGTAGCTTGTGTGGTTCCTTCGTCAAACAAAGCCTGCTGCGTTGTTCTTCACAGATGTTCTAACATGTAGCTCTGCACAGATAATATGGTTAATATGTTACTGTCAGTCTGTCTCAGGCTAGCTGTGGCTACAGTGTAACTTACCAGCATCAGTGTGTGAATGTGTGTATTCATAAATAATGCATTGACATTGTAAAGTGTCTAAAAAACACAATATAAGTTTAATGCATTATTATTAGTAGTAGTTTTGTTTTTATTCTTCCTGAATGTTTTAAGGTGTCGTTTGAGCCTGAAAAATGCTGAATCAAAAGAAAAACTAAAACAAAACTGCAGAAAATAAAACTTTAACTACTTGGTTTAATGCACACACAGAGAAAGACAGTGAACAGAAGCATTAACTGTAAAGTCACAGTCACATGAAAGATCCAATTAACTTCTTTTTCCAGAAATTCAATTAGTGAAAGAAAACAAGAGAAGCAGCAGCATTAACACCTGTCACGTTACACCTGTTAGCTTTACCATGAATAAAACATGTTGCTCCTAGCAAAGAGGAGATGGGACAGTTCATTTRGCACATTATGAACAGAACAAGCCCATCACACCTCCACCCATCTCCAGCTCTTCTCACAGGAGACCAAGCCTCCCTGAGGACGACTCGTTCAGACTGCAAATCTAATCAAAGCTAATCTAATTAGCTCTCCATCCTCAGCTGCAGAGCTGTGAAATGACCCAGTTCACTTTCACCAAACGTGTGAAAAGAGAACTCCTTTCTGTCAACGAGTGAAGTCATGAAAAACAATCAGTCTTTCTATCTTTAAACCAACCCAACTAACTAACTAACTAACTAACTAACTAACTAACTAACTAACTAACTAACCAACTAACCAACCAACCAACCAACCAACCAACCAACCAACCAACCAACCAACCAACTAACTAACTAACTAACTAACTAAC